GGTCGCGTTGGTTTTTTCCCTCCGGGTCCTCTGGTTTTCCCTCCACTTTTATAGTCAATGTTGCGTTTAGAGTATTTGTCTGATATACATTGCCACGTGATAAGCCACTTTGTTAAGCTACCGTTTTTGGTCAGGTAGCTTTTGAAACAGAGATGTATAGCTCAGTGGGCTTCATCTGATAAAATAAAGAATAGGTCATAGTTTTGGTTTGGGATGCGATGTCTGGATCCCGCCCAGGTCAGCTGGCTGGCCGTTCGTTTCTGTGCGGCATTTCACATTAACGGGTAGATCAACAAATGAATATAAATGCAACACGTTCAAGTTATTCCCCATTCCACCAATGGGGTGGAAGTCTCCACACGCCAAGTCTGCCATTGGGGTTTGTTTGTCACCATACATCACCAAGCTGCTTCGTGCAGCTTCGTGCAGCTTGGTTGGGGAGGGCAACGCAGGTTCTGATATCACCCACCACTGATGTTAGCCGTGGTTGGGAATCAAATTGAAGTCGAAGGGGTTCATGGTGCGGTGCCCTAACCACTCTGCTGCCATTCCCCCTCCCTAGCAAATTAATGAATACATTTCCATGGTTTGGGATTGTGATACGATTCAATTGTCAGTTATTTTTGTTTGTCTCGTTTGTGCTGTCGAATGTGTGTTGTTTCTCACTTGCTCCATCTCGTTTCGTTCACTGCACTGGCCTACAATTCACACAATCGTGTGATTTACATACATTCTAAGTAAATTATGTCACATGCACAATCTATCTTTGCCCTGTGAAGATAACGATCAATTAAAATGTATGAACAGTTATATTGATGTAAAAAGACCTCCCCCTATAGCCTAACATACTGCCGGCCAAGTGCTGTTAGCGAGCAACTCTGAAGGCCAGTACGGTAGACAAGGGAGTGTGGGGCCAGCACCACGCCTGACCGCCTTTGTCTCTCCATTGGCGATGATTAAGCGCTTTGCCATGTACTCATTTGAGGCTCAGTCGACCTCGGGGAGGCCCAGGAGCAGTTCAGATAATCGTCACTGGTGTCGCTATGAGCGGGAATCGAACCTGGGTAGCCAGGTTCGTAGCGCAGTGTAGTAAACAATGCACTATCGCACCCCACAACACTTATATGTACGCACACACAGACCTCCCTCCGGAACACATTTATTCGCAATGTGCAGAAAATGGGGGCTATGCTCAACTGCAACGAAAATACCTTACAAATAATCTCTGATGACTCGGTTAGTGGTAGGAGATCGCTGGAGAACGAGCTACATGGGGAGAGCTGAAGCGAGATGTAGAGAGTGGGAGAGAAACGGTTGGGTTTGACGCACTTGTGTTAGCGCAGGGGCTGCTGCTGTGCCTGTGGGCCCGACAGGACTGATGCCCGTGGCCGGGAGGTGGGGAGGGGTGTTCAGATTTCGTCACGGGGATCGCCGAGTTGGAAATCAACTGACTCGGGGGGGGGGGGGGGGGGGGTGCAGTTGCCGACGCGGCCCGGCGTGATTGATGCAAGGGCAAGATATTGGCCGTGGCGAGTACAGCTGGAACGGGGGGGTGGGGGGATTGTACGGGATGATGCGGTCCAGGGGTAAGGAGGGTTTTTATTTGTGACCCTGCACGGATGAGGTGTTGCGATCGGTCACGGCACCGAGTGTGGAAGTGGACCCCCCCCCCCGACGCGGCTGTGTTTGGAAAGCAAGCTCGGGAAAGGGCAGGCAGAGGGCAGGGCTCGCGGGGGCGTTGTGTGTGCTATGGGCTCGCCTCGCCGGTGGCATGTAAGGACCTGCTCAAGCATGAAAGACTACGGAGCCAATCTCTGTTATGTTTTGTCTATTCCTCCCTGCTTTCTTACCGTTTTTTTCATTCGCACCATCAAATCAGTTTCCGCTGAAGGGCAGCGGAAGAGACAAATAATATACGGCCGCAGTCTGTCCTCAATATCCTTTAGATCAAGCCATGCCTTTTAGATCCTGTGTATACCAGGCGAGGTATTTAACATCTCGCCACCCTGGTGACAATATCATTTATCACGCCATACCTGCCCCTAACCAATTGCGTCAGGATGGCCTCTGTGCCTCGTGAAGCGTGGCTTGTTTTATTGTTTGCGGAATATCAACAAAATAAGAGCAATTTACTTTGTCCCGGCGTTGTGAAGTGGGCCGTGCGCTCGCAGCACCTTCGTAAACAGCTGCCACGGATGAAATGTTTACTTTGTTCAACATATCAATTGTGTTTTCTGTAATTTGACCTTTGCAAAATTAAATGGTGGAGAGAAGTAAATGTGTTGTACCGTTGCATGGCCTTAAATTGGCAGCTTGCGTGTTGAAATTTTAAGGCAGTTTTTTTTGCGAGTGGTCGCAATTGATTTGAAGTTAGGGTTCTGGCTAAAGTAAGATTTTTGTTCGTCTTGGGAAACTGCAATGAACATGGTGGTTGATAATGAACTATTGAGAATCGTACTAAAGGTGATGTTGATAATGAACTATTGAGAATTGTACTAAAGGTGATGTTGATAATGAACTATTGAGAATCGTACAAAAGGTAATGTTAATAATGAACTATTGAGAATTGTACTAAAGGTAATGTTAATAATGAACTATTGAGAATCGTACTAAAGGTAATGTTGATAATGAACTATTGAGAATCGTACTAAAGGTGATGTTGATAATGAACTATTGAGAATTGTACTAAAGGTAATGTTAATAATGAACTATTGAGAATCGTACAAAAGGTAATGTTGATAATGAACTATTGAGAATCGTACTAAAGGTAATGTTGATAATGAACTATTGAGAATCGTACTAAAGGTAATGTTAATAATGAACTATTGAGAATCGTACTAAAGGTAATGTTAATAATGAACTATTGAGAATCGTACTAAAGGTAATGTTAATAATGAACTATTGAGAATCGTACTAAAGGTAATGTTAATAATGAACTATTGAGAATCGTACTAAAGGTAATGTTAATAATGAACTTATGAGAATCGTACTAAAGGTAATGTTAATAATGAACTATTGAGAATCGTACTAAAGGTAATGTTCAATAAATCGCCGTTGCGCAATTTGTATGCAGCACAATAACACCCAAGCACAAAACAACGTGATAAATGAGTACGTGTTTCAACGTAAATATCAAATGAAAAACACAAGGATACAGAGAAACCTCTTTCTTAGAACTAAGTTAGCATTGCAGTGTATTGCCATACAAGGATATCAGCCGCAATTAATGGTTACATTAAAATAATCATCCGTCACAACGCCTCTAATTTAATTCAGAGTTTAGAGATAATGCAATACAGTTTCTTAGAAATCTCAACCAATGATTTAAAATTCCACTACAAATGAATTTCCACGTACGCAGCAATCTGTTTTGGGCAAATCATTTTCCTCTGCTTGTCCGCATGAACGTTGAACGTGGCTGCGTATATTTATTATTATTAATAGCATTTCGTGGGTTTATTAAATTTATTTTGGGCAATGATCAGGCCCCATTGGGATTTGTGATGAAGGTGTCGAAAAAGCAATTTGGTTGGGGCGACAGATGTGAAGCTAAAATAATAATTCTTGTGGTGAATTGGACGATGCCGGCCCGTTGGCAGAGCGGTGGCAATTTTTCTAAAGCCTCGTGATGGCTGCAATCAGTGTGGGCGGCTTTGGAGTGGCGGCGCAGTGGTTAGCGCGCTCGGCTGCGAACCCGTCCGCTCCAGTTCGATTCCCGGCTCGCGTCAGCCAGGATCGTTGACGATTATCTGAACCGGTCCTGGACCTCCCCGAGGTCGACTCGGCCTCAAATTGAGTACCCCGTGCGGTGTGCGAACACCGTCGCTAGCGAGGCAAAGGCGGCCGGGCGTGACGCTGGCCACCCACTCCCCTCTCGTGTGCCGTGGTGGTCTTCATGGGTGCTACTCGCGAACAGCACTTTCCACAAAAAATAGTCTGCTTTAGGCTATACGGGAGATCTTTGTCTTTGTGTGCTTAAAAACATGAGAGGAGAATGGACAGTTTCTATCTTTAGGTTTTTTTAAAGGAAGATAAAAATTGCCCCTCCCCTCAAAAAAACGCAACTATATATTATTTAGAAGATTTGTCCCACGATGTCCCGGCACAAGTTAAACAACTTTGTTGATGAGGGAGAATAATTTATACTTCGTGGGGGGTCCCTCATGCCACCGTGAAGTCAGAGAGAGGTGTGATTGCTAAAAAAATATATTAAATGTATTGTTTCATAAACTAAACATTCCATCCAGTTTTATTCTGATGGTGCGATCGGCATCGCGTCATCACGAGACGGAGAATCCATTCAGATCGCTCGCAGGGCGGTGCGACCCGTCGTGTTTCGGAACGGCCCACGGAAGCGGATATCCTTGAACTACTTCTGAGATCCCTTCAAGTGTGGTCACGCATAGCAGGGGACAACGCTTGCCAATGTTTCCCTGCCAGCCAGAGTACTATTTGGCACCGTGACGAGTCACACTGATGTTTAAATTCTGACAGCTGATCAAGAATAAAGACGCTACGAAAAAAAGCTAGAAGCAACAAAAATGTTTTTTTTTTTAGGAAGTATATTAGAAATGTAATGGACAGACACCGGGTACAAAATTCAAATTTACGAGAATAATAAGAGAAAGGGCAGGGTTAGATATCTTGGACATGTAATGTGAAAGCAAGAGGCCAAATATAATGTTTTGACTGGGAAATGTTGAGTTACAAAAAAGCTGATGATGCAACTGGGAGCTTCAAATGCCAAGTTCTTGAGCATAAAAGGAAGGAGGCCACGACCGCCGACGTCTTTGAGAAAGGACGGCGCACGTAGAGAGAGCGAGCAATCTGAAATGTATCCAAATGAACTTTGCAGGGCCAGTACTCACCATTATTCATTGGCGGGCGTGTTTCCATTGGTAACACTCTCCCTGTGCGACGCTACGTGTGTGTGTGCGTGTGTGTGCGCGCGCATGCGTGTGTCTGTGTGCGCGCGTGCGTTTCTGTGTCTGTGCAATCAGGCAGCAAGCGCGTGACCAACAAGGCCACGCTGTGGTACGTCCCCCTCTCCATCAAGAGCCCGGACAAAGTGCTTCCCGTCCCGCCCATCGAGGTAACGGGACACGCCGATCGCGGGCGCGCAGGGACGAGCTGCGAACCAAGACGGAGGAGAAACCAAAATTAACAAACGAGTCTCGCCGTGGCAGAGCTACAGTTAGACTCCTGTCAGGGCGGCGGGCTGTCCCGTCCGTCAGTTAACTGATTGGTTGGTCGCGTGTGGTGAGATAAAGTGTGGGTATTCGCACCTCTTCCAAGACGTCTGGTCACCATGGGAGGGTAGGACAATATGCCCTCTGTAGAGGGGCTCGCCAGAGCTCCCTCTAGTGGAGGCCCTGCCGCCAGCAGTGGCGTGAGCGAGCAGTTGCAGCGCTGCGCCTTTACCCTTCCCCGAATGTTTTATGTGGCCTGGTGGCATGCTGCGTACGCCACGGTGCAAGAAGCTTGGATATTAAATTAGATCAGTGATGATTTAGTGACCCTGAATTTTTCTGTGTTTTCAGTCCGATAAATAAATAACATTTACATATGACCTTTGTTTATGACCGCTTAAGATGCCTTTGAAGCCCTAGGTCGTTTATTGCAAGGGACACCGGGATTGTACGTGGCCCGTCATGCAGACGCTTCTAAAACAAGACGTCGTCGCATGTGGTCCGTGGTGGTCAGGAGTTCCTGGTTTGGAGAATCAGGGCAGCCACCTCTAATTAATCCGCTAGCTCAATTATATAGTGAGTGCATGGTCTCGGTGCAGTCATTAGTCACTGCGCACACAAATGACTAGTTTGTTAATTTTATTTTCTGCACCCGAGTTGGCCTAATTCCAGCTTTAAGGAATGACGTCCATTTGGTTTGCTGTCAAGCGACATCCTCATCGCAGTGTGTGTGTGGGAGAGGGTGCCGCATAGAGTATGCAGGATGCAAAGGCCACTTGTGGGACTTTGCAAGAGAAGTTCTGCGGAAATATTTTCTCTCGTGCGAGGGCCACGCGCACTGCTCTGTGAGATTTCCAAATGGATTATTCATCTCACGACGTGGTGCCAGTAGCACGATTGGCCTGAAAGTGTAACAAAACACAAGAAAGTGTATTCGCCCAGGGAGAATCCTCGTCGAATATCGAGGCTGTTTTTCCACGCGAGCCCTGCTAAGCTCTGCGCGTGAAAGCGGGCAGTGCCGCTTTGCGCTTCCCCAATCGCCGTAATTTGTGGGTGACCTATCAAACGTTTGCATCTTTTGGGGATTTATCGCGGGAAAATCCAAGCAAAGTGACACAAATCTCCGCGCTGTGGCCGAGTTGTCTGCTTCACTGGGCTTGGCGAGTCTTCTCGCCCCCTTTGTGGCAGTGCCCGCGTTGCCAGGCTCGGCTCAACGTGCGCGGTGTTTTCGGACGGCATCCAACGGTCGCTGTTTATCGCTGTCGTCGGCAGTACGGATGCGATGAGGAGCGCGACGATGGCCAGGCGAGATACGACGCACAGAAGAGCGGGAGAGTGGAGCTCATGGCGAAACCGGCGTTCTCCCTCACCCCTATCATCAGTCCCGGTAAAGTGCATCATGGGAGCAGTTGCATAGCACAGTGGCGGCACGAAATACCTTTTTGCAGACACAGATTGGAGACGTTTTGTCTCAATTCGTTGGTGCGTAGGGCCCCTTGTCGATCCACTGCTGGCCGTTGCACGTTAGTGTAGAAAGGGAGAAGGACCAAAACTGGTTCTGATGTCACCCGCCATCGATGTCAGCCGCGGGCCGGGAATCGAACGCCATCATGAGTCCACCCAGATTAATAACACAGATCAATGATTAATAACGAATGATAACGGTAAATACAACTAACTACTGAGCATTGAGCAACATGTAATGTTCCTGGAAATATTTAGTTTTTGAAAACTTCCGCTTTGAAAGAAATAATCTAATTTTAAAACGTCAAGCAAATTCAAAGTAATTGTTGGGTTTTAGTGCACAGACCTTTCGAGTGTGTTGAGATATAATCGTAATGTCTCTTCCCCTGTAATCTCAAATCTCTCATTTTGAAATTAAAACAATTTGTCAACTTTAAATGTGTAATCCCTTGTTATTCAATTATATGTTTTTTTCCCTGTGTTGAACCAAAATAATGTCATTGTTTTTGTTTTTCATGATATAGGGAGAGAAGGAGCGGCACCTCTTACGTCAATGGCTACACCCTAGAATTCATTTGTTGCACAGTCCTTTTCAAACGGGGCTTGCCAATTTATTAAAATGAGGCACTTACAGATAGCAATCTGCGTACGTAATAGGACCCTTTGTCACCTTGCGTGGCCATTATTCTGTTGCCTTAATTGCTGGTGTAAAAATACATCTGTAAAATATCTGTTGTGATGTGAATGTCCATCACGCGGTTTCACAGAGTCCCTCCATTGTCGTGACACCACCACCCTCACCCCCACATTGTCTTGTCATTAATCATCATCTGCATCTTGATAATTTGTCACTTCCCAACAGCAGCACCCTTTCTGTTTATCATCGTAATCGTGCTCATTCATCACTGCCGTCCTCATTCGTCACTGCCAGCGTTATCTCCGCCATCGTCGCCGACAATGTTGCCGTGTCCTTCAGCACCTTGGCAGCTGTCGCCCCCCCACTTAACTTACAGGAAAACGTGACGTCTCAAAATAACGCACCACCCCTCCAGACGTTGGCGCAGTGAAGGCGGGGTGGGGAGGACGAAGGAACCGATATTTCACCTGTGGCGACGCACGCGATGAGCCCAACAAAAATAGTTCTCCTTTCACGTCTGCCAAATGTGCCCGCTCACATCCTATTAGCGAGCACCTGGCCGCAATAGTTGCCGCAAGGCGCCCGGGCACCGGTGTTTGGCATGGCCACCTGTGTCTCCTCCCCTCGGGGAGTTGCGTCATTGAGGTTTTGGCAGTGATTGGCGCGTTCACCAAAGCCCTGCGTCGAATGGAATGGCGTAGCGCTTGGTGGCTGCACGGCAAGCAAAATAAAATAAAAACCTCGGCGTAGCACGTCGTGTTATTGCGGCTGTCTGCCACAGGGCGTGCTGCGCGAGCCAAATGGCACGGCGCTGCTCAAAGTGTGCTCTTGGGCGCATCTTCGGGTCGCGCCGTGCGGGACGGTGACCGACGTTTCGCTCCACGTGCTTGGGAGCTTCTTCAGGAACTCATTTTCAGTCACGGAGATGAAGTGTCCGTTTGTCTACCTCTCTTGCCGAGGGAGAAAATGCCCGTGAATTACCAGGGTCGTCAGACATACTCGGACAAACAGACTTTTCATCCACGCTTGGGAGGCGGTGGTTGTGGTGCATTTAGTTTTGTGTTTGTGTCAAACGCACTCTTATTCCGTAAGCAAGCCGTATTCTAAAAGACAGATAATTACCTTCAAAGTGACACCCAATAATGTATCCATCGGTTGATTTAGAAACATTTTTGGCTCTTGATGTAGCCTAATGTCTGTAGTTGTCCTTGACACATTCACCTGTGGATTTCCTGGGTGATTTAAGGGCACTATAATTGTCAGCTGGTTAAGTGCACTTGTTTCCTTTGTTTACGAGGAAAGCCTAAGCCTTTTTGTAGGGCGGTCCTGCCAAGTTGTTACAGTTAGGGGCTGATGTTGTTGCGTAATCCCAATGTAATATTTTTTCCAGTACATTTTTCGGCGTTGGGATGTTTGGGCAAGTACCAGTTACGTTTGTCCGTGTTTTTTTTTTAGCTACGAAACGAAATGGGGAGAACCCGCAGGAAACCCACGGAGAATAAGGGGGGGGGGGGGATGGGGTAACATACAAACGCCACACACATAGACACCTGAGTTGGGACTCGAACCCCCAAGAACCTTCCTGTGAGGCACGAGCGCTGCCACTGCGCCGTCCTCTGCCGCCCTGGCTAGGAATGTACCGGCTCGGTGTGCTGCGTGGGGTCGTGGTTGGGATGGCTTATCTGACCCGCACCGACTGCGCGAGGGCTCTTCAATGTTATCTTCCATCGCGGCCGCTCCGTGCTTCGACCCGGCGCGCTCTGCTGTTAGGTTGGAGTTCCCAAACGATTTTCCTTCACCCCCCCCCCGTGGCTTGTCTCTTTATAAGCGCGGCCACGACACCATTGGCAATTTAAATTCAAAAGGGACCGGAGCCGGAGTTTTCATGCTGTGGGAGAAAACGCCGTTGTTGGTCGGTTTCGGCGTCATCTTAAAAACAAAAAATCCACGTCATCGATAAACCCGCTCGCTCTTGCCGTAACCGTGCCCCTGTTATTTTTTGTCCCAAACGGCGGCGGCCCGCGTGCACTTTTATCGTGCAGGCGTCGATCGTGGCGTTTATCGCTAAAGTGCCGCCGAAGAGCCAACGAGGTCTCTCGCGGGGGGTGAGGGGGGGGAGACTTGTTTAAGCCTAGCCGGTGTAATCCTTAGCCTTCGCCTCTCCTCCGCACCGTGCGTCTACATATATTTAAATGAGACACGCCACGCCGCCAGTGGGGTGCGGCTGTCATATAATGCGTTGAAATTGAAGCGAGATGATCATAATAACAATGATGGTCCGTCAAAAATAACCGTCATCGCCATCAATCGCCGTTAACGATCATTAACGTCATCATTTTCAGTCGTTGTTGCCCATTCGTCGTCATTAAAATAAAATTATGCTTTTCCAGACGATGTTTTAGCGCTGAGTCATAAATGCAAATGCTGTACTTTTGTTACGTTTATATTCCACTGAATTTCCACCAAGATCATAAAATCCTGCCTGTGTTTGTGATTAAATGTGTGCTTTGTCGCCTATGTTCCAGATGTAAGTGTTGTGCTTCACCTGTGTTGAACCACTGACTGCAAAGCAAACACGAATATTTCCTAACGTTCACACGCATTGATCACAAAACCTTTCTCTCTCACTGCGGCCTTGGGGTCTACAGAGTGGCGGAGCAAGGGTAAGCAAACGACGTGCGGTCGCGATACGGTGGAACCCGGTTTAACGCCAGCACTCTCTATATATTTGAAATAATAAATCAACCTTCCGTCCAGTGAGTCAACTCTGACACGACTGCGCCCTGGATTGGTCGTCTTGCAAGTGGTTACGGTCGGAAACGCCGTTCAGCGATTGTGCACTGCCGCCGGCTCCTGATTGGACGTCATTTGGCTGCCTTGCTTGAGCATCCGATTGCTTGGTGGTGGTGGTTGTTGTTGTTTTCTCACTCCGGATTGGTTGGCACGTTTGGAGCGTATACGCACGAAGTGCTTTCGGGTGTTGGCGCTCATTTCGCCAAAAAAAAGCTATGCGGTTAAATGCAATTTCCCGTGCCCCTTCTGAAGAGAGCACGGCACTTTGGATTTACAACCACAATTTTTTCTCTCGTTTAGTGTCAAAATTCCTTGCATTTTCGATGCATTCAGATGCTACGTTCTAACAGCGCACCAAACGGGTTCCGCCGTATTTGGCAATACATTTTTTTTCCCCTTCCACGCTAAAAATAACGAACGTGTTTCGCCGCAGCCATTGTGTACATCGCGCGTTTTGATAATCCCATCAGGCTTGGCAACCAGAAATAATGAGATATGTTTTCCATGCAATTATTCTGTCTGCCCGTCTCTCTCTCTCTCTCGCTCCTCTCTCTCCGCCTCGCTTCTGTCTCTTTCTGCCGCTCGCTACGACGCGAGGTGTCGCGAGCTGTGAGCGAGCGAGCAAGCGAGCGCACCGCTCCTGCCTGTTCAGGATGAGAGGCGTCGTTTTGTGCGTGGGTGACATAACGGTTTCGGGAGGCCCAGACGGAGAGAGCGAGAGAAAGTCACGCCCACGAAATTAGGCAGGAGACCTTTACCGCAGGATTAATGTCCCTTAGTAGCAGCGGAGAAGGCGGAGCGCTGAGAGCAGGGGTCACATGAAGGGAGGGAGAGGGAGGTTGAGGCTGGGGAAAGAGCAGGGTGGAGGGGGGGCCTCGCCCCCCCCACGACGACCCTAAGGGTCGTCGTGGGCTGGAGGGGACACGAGGCAGCCGTGCGTGAAGTCGCCTTGGGGGCGGGGGATGCGATGCCAACGAGAGGATGCAGCGGGTGGATGGGTGGGGGAGAGGCGGTGGGGAGGGTGGAGGGGTGTGAGGCTTGCCGGCATGGTTGGCGGCGCGTCAACAACAACGCGTGAACGAATTGGCAATTCAGTTTGCCATTAGCGATGAGGAGGTGGGGGGAGGACGAGGCGCTCGCCGCATGGCCTTGGAACGGAGGGCCGTGGCGATCGTCGCTCACGACAGAGGGGAGACTGCCCGGGTTGAGGCTCGGCGGCCCCTGCGGTGCCGATTGTTCTCGGTTGGCACCTCGGCCGCCCATGGCTTCGCTTGCGCCGCTTTTCGTGGAAACGAGGATGGGGGGGGGCGGAGGCCGCGGGGGGGCCGTGCCCAGACGGCCGTCTTCCCGCGCGCCGTGTGACCCCGGGCGCATGCTTCCGGGTGTCGTCTCGGTACGCCTCTGATTAGCACGCTTGGCTTCGTACGGTGCGAAAGAAGTTCAGCGCACAGCATACGTACAGCGCCGAGACAAATGACAGAGCCCACACTGCCCTGCACGTGCACGCCCCTAAGCGGAGGCTGATCCTGGCTCTGCCTCGTATCGAAGGTTGCACGGGAATACCAGGGCTTGGGGCAGTGATCGCCAGAGAAGAGCAGTGCAAGAACACGTTGCAGGGCTGCCCCTTTATCTGTTATCAAATAAATATATCCACACACGTGTCCAGCGTTGACTGTTGTGGGGTGAGCCGCGGTGCAGCAGATTGCGGCGACCCAAAACGGTAGAAACGTGACCTCGAAATTCGGAGCCGAATTTCATCATTGGTGGTTGGCACGTCCGCTTCGCCCCACGCGCGGACCATGCGTGAATCCCGCGGTAACGCTCACCGCAGGTGATGACAGCGATTCGAGCGAAACTGCGACTGAAAGAGTCCCACGACGTGCAGCAGGGGCGTAACGTATCGCTGCCGAACCCCGATTCCACCGATGCTGCGACTTGCCCGCAAGGCATCGTCAACGATTCATTGATGAAGAATAAACTATTCTTGGTAACGTTTTGGTGAAAGTAGCGGCCACTAGTGGCTGCTAAAGGGTTAACGTAAAACCCACTCGATGACAAAAGAAAATAGCCTCCGTTCGCTCCATATGTGATTAGTTGTTAGTCGCTTGTATTAATCAAGCTTAAGCAGCATCAATCGGCGCATCGTTTCACGTGTACGTGCACAGCCCTGCTTGCCACTCCACTGCTGGCTGAGGGCCTCCCAACCCACGTCGTTCTGGCCGCAGGCGTTATTTGACCATACTTCACCGCGCTGCTCCGTGTGCGTTGGTGAAGATGGGGGAGGAGGGTGCATGGCAATACAGTGCACGAAGTATTTTGCTGCACTGCCCGCAAAGTAGCCCCACACGTGATATGAGTCACAAAAGCTAAAGGTGCAGTCCCACCATTGCTGGTGGAAGGGTCTCCTCCAGGGAGGGCTCTTGGAGAGGAGGCTCTAATTTTGGTCTTCTCTTTCACACGTGCCGGACATCTCAGAAGAGTTGGGAGTACCCGCACTTCACCCCACTACAGGTGGCACCTACCGATCGTCTAACTGTGGGTGTGCCCATTTACACTGCTGGGTGGACAGAGGTGGCTGGGACATTTCATAAACTTTTCCCATTCTTTTAACTGCCATGCTGGGAGATCGACCCACGAGCTGTGGATTGCAAGTCCAGTGTGCCAGCAAGCCCCAATGCCTATCATCGTGTGTTCATTTTGAGCAAGGTTTGTGTACATTTTAATTGGCGGTGTCTCTGTGTGTACCCGCGTTGTTTTCTTTAGCGGAGACGCACACCGTGGGCTACAGCCAGTCCAGCCTGATCCATCTCGTGGGGCCTTCGGACTGTGCCATTCACGGCTACGTGCAGGGGGGTGAGTGTCTCGTTTGCGCGCGCGCGCGCACGCACGCACACGCACACGCACGTGCCCATTATCCGCTCGGGGCCACACGCCGTGTCGCGAAGAATCGCTCCGCGTCTTCGCGTTGTCCTGGGGTAAAATAGAGAAGCTTTCCCCGTGCGTTCACGGGGTGTACGGCACAATGTCCGACTTTTTGTTCCAATGTGCCAGAGCTTCTTCGGCAACTGAACCGAGCAGCTCACCTTCTACCTTGGGCATAATGGGGTGGATGGGTGGGTGGGTTAGAGCTATGTGCACCCCAGGACCACACCGTTTCTGATGCTACTCACCACTGATGTTAGCTGTGACTGGCAGTCAAACTTACATCATCAGGTTCATAGAGCAAGGCACCAATCACTGTCCCACCACCCCCACGACTGTGGGGAATGAATAATTTCCACCAATGACTCAATGATTGTGTTGAGAGGGAGACACGTGGCCTTTTTGACACACCACTTAAAATCTCTGACCTCACCAAGTAGTGTCTTCCTCGAGTTAATTCTCAGACGGCGCAAATTACGTTGGCTTGACATCCACGAGCACAAGGCGTTCAGAAGTAGTCAGCATTACGTTGATTCTAGATTTAAAGCTTTCGTGACTGCAAGGATCCATACTCTTTGGTTCTATTCGGTAAAGTCACGTAGGTAAAAAATAAAACAACAAAAATCACGACGTTTCGGCCACAACACAAGCGGCCTTCATCGGGTGAAGGGACCAGGCTGTCTTGAGGACAGCGCTGGAGTGAAACACAGCCACGCTCAGACCGCGACCTTTAAGCTGTGTGCGAGGAAGCAAGGTGCCTTGACAAAGGAATTAGCATAAAAATAGCATTTGATTGGCCGACTTAGCATGATGAACGGTGTAGAGGTGGTGTACATGCGGGTGAACATGCCAGTTGGCGCGGGGGGGAGGGGGAGTTTACCTATTTATGGTGTGAAAAGGGAATTTTTAAGAGCTGTTACAACGCTGTGGGTGATCACGATATAATTTTCTCCGATACCAAGGTTCTTTGCAAACCCACGTTTTTTTTTTTATCAGAGATTTGTTCACGAGGCAATTCAGATCTACACAGACACAATTTCGACCGAGATGGTTTCAAATTAAGCAACCATTGGAAAGATCTTCTAAATCGAACCAAACATTAAACTAATTTTCAATGGTACAGTATATTTTTCAAGTAGTGGTACCCCAAACTTTCGCAGCTCTTAAAAATTCCCTTTTCACACCATCAATAGGTAAACTCCCCCCCGCGCCAACCGGCATGTTCACCCGCATGTACACCACCTCTACACCGTTCATCATGCTAAGTCGGCCAATCAAATGTTAATTTTATGCTAATTCCTTTGTCAAGGCACCTTGTTTCCTCGCACACAGCTTAAAGGTCGCGGTCTGAGCGTGGCTGTGTTTCACTCCAGCGCTGTCCTCGAGACAGCCTGATCCCTTCACCTGATGAAGGCCGCTTGTGTTGTGGCCGAAACGTCGTGATTTTTGTTGTTTTATTTTTTTACCTACGTGACTTTACCAAATAGAACCAAAGAGTAAGCATTACGTTGCATCAGGTAATATACCTCTGGGGAAGTGGACGCAGGCATGGAGTGGATGCACATGTGTAGTGGACGCACGCAGCAGACGCGCGCACGCCGTGCCACCTTGGGCTGGAACAACCCCCTCGCTGTACTCGTAACGAGGTTGCTCATCATCATCACGACTATTTCATTTGTTAGGCTTGTCGGTTGGTGGAGGGATTCATGACACAAATTTGGCCAGATCATTACACAGCGGCCTCACCCGAAAAAATATATTATGAATCGTAAATCACAAATGTTGACCGTCATTACAGGAATAATTTGTTTCCACTCACAGTCCGGGTTTAAATATTGTTAGGAATAAAAATCCATTCGACTCGTGAAGGAAACTGCACGGTATATTGTGTTGTTTTCTTTATTAATTTAGAATTTAATCTCGTTGCTGGCCTTTGGCGAGACCTTTAGGAGTCCTCTCCAAAAGGCCTCAACGATAAAACACGTCTCACATCGTATGATTGTATTGACGAAAACTATTTCCGGGAACACTTCATTTAGGTGAATTTTATTTTGTGAACATGTTTTATTTACCGGCCCATGCTTGTTGAGTCGAGACGCACTGTGAATATCAACTGCACGTTGGCCCAGAAACCTACAAGCATAAGCCCTGCAAGCTGAGCAGCTTTGAGCCTGGATATTGCTCGGACCTGCGATCGAAATGGACAATGCATTGTTTCACGCTCAGCGGCTCAGTGGGTGGTGCCACGTAAGGTCCAGCAAAACAGGTTGCTGTACTGGACTTTTATGCTCCCACGTCTATTCTCGCCAGCCTTCCCCATCCCGCACAGACCAGCGTGGTGAAACATTGTCAAACAGCAACTCTCGTGTATGTATGTAAGTTTAACTTCTTTCGCACCATACGTAGCCAACCGTGCTAATCGGAGGTGCGGATTATGACCAACACGGCATGGGGAATCCCTCGTGCAGCAGCGGACTGACAAAGGCCTGTGCACGCACGTGTCGAGTTGCACGTGCCGACACTCGATCGTTCTTCATCCAGGCGTGAATATCCCCGCGTTGGCATTTCTTTCTGAGCGCCGGTGTGCAATGGTGATGACGATAATGGTGATCGCTTATTTGCTCAGCGAACTCGTCAAGTGTGGACAATATAATTGTGCGTTGGCCTTGTGGATTATGGGCATGAAATAATGAACAGACTGGGAAGGAGCTGTTTAACTAGCCCAAGCGACCTACGGGCCCTCCGGAGCAGCTTCTGTTTGAACAGGTTTTGTTTCAGCGACAAACTCCAGAACGATTTCGACTTCCGTGAGTCCCATCGGCAGGATGCGGCCTGTTCAGCATATGCAGCCGGGTTGCCTGATGTTATCGGTGAAAGCTGTGCCCAAAACTCCGTGGGCACCATTGAGCACGGTTCAGAAAATGTTGTTCTAAACGATCGTTTAATTCTCTGCTCGATCGTGAGCAAGGACATGACCCACCAACCCCTTGGGAGCAAGGCCAGCTGTGCCAAAATCCGAAGTCATGTGCTTGTATGAGACGTTGCCTCTTTGACCGTCCCCTCATAGCGGTGAGATGTTTGGATGGCTTGCTTTTATAATAAAAAATGGTCGTCATCGGCAAAATAAAACAATTTTTTGGGTCCTCCAAAATGCAGAGCTCTCGAGGGCCAATCATGATGTAAAGCGGTGTTGGTTGTCAGTGGGAAAACCGTGGCTTCTTAAGAGTTTTGGCTTCTCTCTGAGTGACTGAGCATCGAATTTCAGCCTGGAGGCCCACGACAGAGGGAGGCTTTCGCCGGGCGTACCAAATACGAGGGAGAGACATCACAGCGATACTCTGCTGCTCCCGACGCAGTTATCTAGCTTGCCCACCTAAATGTAAAATTGTAGTTGTTATCTCTACATCTACATCAGCCGTACGAAAGAAGCTGATCAACACGCTTTGAGACCCCGAAGGCAAACCGGGAAGGCCCACGCCAGGGGTCAACTCGTGACGAATCGCCGTGAGACGATCCTTCGCTGGGCTCCAAGCTCCATGCAAAACACCGACAAACTATGAGCTAGATTTATTTTGCCAGGTAAGGCCCACTGAGCTATACGGCTCGTTTCCCAAAGTGACCAACGGAAGTGACTTATCACGTGGAAATTTATAGCAGCCAAATACTCTAAAGAGCATGTTCATTCAAAATTTTGAGGGAAAAACCGGAGGACCTGGAGAAAACTACACGTGACCACCGGGAGAACACGCAAACCCCAAATATAAGACATCATCAGGGTCGGCATCGAACCCACGACCTCCTGTATACCAGGCGAGGTGGTTAACATCTCGCCACTGCGACTCCAATTAATTGGGGCTTCTGTAAAATCCAACGCTGCCCGTCGTCGCAGGGTCAGGACGAGCGCCGGTGTCCGCGTCCTTCGCGCGCGCGCTGCGCTTTCAAAACTCGTCGCAAAACATCAGTGCCGCCATCACAGCAAGGTCGATATTGACCTCCGAAAGTAAATACCGGCTTGATTGAAGCGCGAGCCCGTTCACAAACAATCAGGAACTCGGATGTGGCCATGCGGTGGGGGGTGGGGGGGGTGGTGGGAGGGGGGAGTTCTCTGGGGGCAAACTCGTTCTCGGTGGCGTGAGCGAGCACCCCTCCACTTGATGACCAGAATTTGGTCGAGATGTCGTGTATACAAGCGGGCGAGTAATTGGTTCCAAGGCCAGGCCGAGCGTGGAGGAACGCAAATTTGGAAGATTTCGATAAAACAATACATTGGGCTGTGGGTGGGGAAATAAGGCCGGACAAATATCTGTTGTCAATTTAAAATATATTTCGTCGTGAAAGCTCGACGTTGCGTTCCGATGTCGAAATTGTCTTTTGAGCGTTCCTGTCAATGCGAGAGGCTTGGGGCAGATTGCAGCCGCTCGCAGGAACGCCGGCGGTGAGAGACGGAGGAGGTGAACCTGTCGCCAGCGACTCATAAACATCGCTTCAAAAGCGCTTCGTCCTCGTGCCGGCCTATCTTACCCGACCAGCCGGTTCCTTCGACGCGTTCTCCCTTTTGCCGTTCGTCCGTCAGTCCGTTAATTTATAGGCGCGCTGATTTAAATTGCGTTGGTTACTCCGTGCTCGCCGCTGTCCCCGCAGCACTCGCGGGCGCTGGCTTGAGCGCGGCGCTCACGGAAGCTGCCGATAACAACCCGTAGCGGCGGTGGCGGCGCCATTGTTCCGCGCGGGGCCAGATAATATGTACCGTGCTGCTGAGAGAGAGACAGGAGGAGGGAGGACTGTGGGTTTGGAGAACGTACGCGACTAAGAGCCGTCGTGTTGACCGTGAAGCGAAGTGAGTGAATGGGCTTGTGGCAGGGTGTGTCCCCGAGAAGAGACAATGGCTGTGGTCGAGGCTAGCGATGAAGTGTCAGACAAAGGATGGAACG